CATTGAGTGCTAAAGGCCAAGCAGAGCTTGAAAAATGTTCGAGTTGTTTTTCTCTAACACTAATTCCTCCGGTAATTCATTCCAGCTCTGAATAGTGCTCGGGAAGAAAGAATGTTTAAAAATGTCAGTTTTGGATGAGAAAGGTCTAATTTTCCTCGAGTGATCACGTCTTTGGGAAATGAAATGTGGTTCAAGTAAGTATGTTCCTTTATCAATTCCAGAGAGTTCGTAATGGATCGCGTGTAGTAGTTTTAATCGAAGGTATTTACGGCGAGTTTGGAGAAGCTCCCACTTGAGCTCCTCTTTTAAGGCGGTCACGCTTTGACGCCAATTATTGGAGTTAAGAACGAACCTGGCAGACCTATTCTGAATACTCTCTATGTCGTTGATGAGGTACTGTTGGTAAGGGTCCCATAGCTCGGAGGCATATTCAAGAATCGGCCTGATGTTCGTGAGGTAAAGGGTATTTTTTACTTCGCGTGGGCAATCTTTAAAGTTACGCCTGATGAAACCTAACATCCGGTTTGCCTTAGCTGTCATATATTCTATGTGGTGATTCCACGAAAGATTATGAGAGAAGTAGACGCCCAGGTATTTTACTTTGAGTGACAAGTTGATTACAATGCTGTTTATATTGTACGTGGTAATTACAGGTTTTTGTTTCTTCGTGAACCTCACAAAGTGACATTTCGCTACATTCAATTCCATTCCCCAAGTGAAGCACCAGCTCGCTATACGATCGATGTCCTCCTGGAGGACAGCACATTCATCGGAATCTCGTACCGCGCGATAAATAACACAGTCATCTGCATACAACCGTATAGAAGATGAAATGTTTTCAACAATGTCATTAATAAATATCAAAAATAGAAGCGGTCCCAACACGGAGCCCTGGGGCACACCGGAGGTAACTGGGGTAGAATCGGACAATTTCCCGTTAATTACCACTGCTTGAGTCCTAGATCTAAGATAGTCAACGAGCCATCCAGAAACGTTAGGAGATATTTTGAGGGCTGATAATTTATGGAGAATAAATTTGTGTGGTACAAGATCAAAGGCCTTCCGAAAGTCAAGAAAAATACAGTCTGTCTGAAGGCCCTTGTCATATGCTTGTGCCAATTCGTGAAAAAATTCTACCATCTGGGTTGTGCAAGACAATCCCGGGCGAAATCCATGTTGGAAAGGGGTGAAGAAATTGTTAGCGTTTAAATGCTGTACAATGCTGGTGTAAATGACGTGCTCCATCAGTTTGGAGGACGTGCTAAGGAGCGAGATAGGCCTATAATTTTCTACTTTGTTTCTGGGACCATTTTTATGTACGGGCACTACATATGCTTCTTTCCAAGCGCTAGGCAAAGTACAATCAGAGAGTGATTTAGTGAACAAGACATATAAAAACATTGCAATCACACCTGAACATTCTCTGAGAACCCTATTTGGTATGCCATCAGGACCAGTTGATTTATTGGGGTTAAGTGATTGTAGAAGTTTAACTAGACCATCAGAGTTAAGCACAAGTTCCTTCATATCGTGTAACGGGGTGGCGGTAGGGGCCATAGCGGGACAATCATTTGAGCCAGGAGATGGAGAAAATACCGACTGGAAGTAACTACTGAAACAAGTTGCCTTCTCCGGGCCATCGTGCAGGGTCTGACCAGATACATCAATCGGCGGGATACCAAATTGGTCCTTCTTGTTGCTCTTTACCAACTTCCAGAATTCCTTGGGACTTCTCTTTAGGCGGTCACCTAGAGTGCTATGAAAAATCCTCTTAGCGATTTTTAGTTTGACTTTAAATAGTTTCCCTAGGTTACGTAACCTTGCCAGTGATGCTGCATTAGACGTTCTGCGATGTGTTAGATATGCACGTTGCTTCTTATGTAATAAACGGCGCAGATTTTTATCTATCCATGGTTTGCGGTTTCGCTTCTTGGGTCTAATTACTTTGTTCGGAATATAAGTGTCCATTAGAGCTATGAGCTTAAACCTCAAGAGTTTCCACAAATTGTCAACATCCATCTCGTAGGAGCTCATTTCAAATTCGGCAAAAAAGTCGAACAATTCATCTGCAAGATCAGCATAGTTTCCCTGGTTATAAAAATGTACTTTCCGTGGGCATGGTCGTACCGCCATAACACGCTTGCACTTCACTCTTGCAGTTACTATGTCATGATCACTGATTCCTGGAAGGTGGGTGACTGAGGATATAGCTGTCTGGAAATTACAAAAAAGAAGGTCAAGAGTGCTCGAGAGCCTCGAGTCAGCTCGGGTCGGTTCCGTAACGTGTTGAATCAGTCCAAAGCTTGAAACAAGATGGGAAAATGTGGAGTACAATACTGAAGAGTTGCAGTCACTAACTTGGCCATCACGCCAGGTAACATCAGGTAGGTTAAAATCTCCCCCCAATACTAGGTAATCACTTGCAATAGAGGATAGTATTTCGGATAAGTACCTTAGTGACTCATTGTTTGATCCAGGTGGCCGGTAATATGAACCAACAGCTAGAGTCTCTCCAGAGGACAGATAAATTTTACACCAGACAGATTCACAAATTGGGCGGGATACATTTAATTCCGAGCTCTGAAGGGCACTGGAGACCAGAACAAAGACGCCGCCTCCATGCGTGTTTCTATCTTTGCGATAGGCAACATACTGCTCAGGAAAGATCTCAGCGTCACTTATAGCCTCTGATAACCAAGATTCGGTACCTATTACAATGGACGGTTCTGTTGTTGATACAAGTTCTGCAAACTCATCGATTTTGTTCTTTATGCTCCGACAGTTGATTAGAAGTACATCGAGGTTCGACTGGTTAGCTCTTAACTTTAGCCTTTTCCGCAAGCCTAGTTATGCGCTTCCCTGTAGTGCGGGTGCAGAGTTTTGTAATTTAATTCGGCGTTTGTGTTGTTTCATCCCACGTAAATGCTTCACCATTTATAAATAACTTGTCGTACCGTAAGAAGACTTTATCATCTGATGTACGTGTGCCCTTTATACTGTCCCAGAGTTGCCTACGCACAAGCTGAACCCTACGGGAAAAATCCTCGGATAGGAATATTCTCGTACCCTCCAGCCTACGTGAATTGCGGAGCAGGTTCAGTTTTTCATTAAAGACATAGAGTCGCAAGATCACAGGTCGTGGCCTGTGACCATCAGCTCTCCCAATCCTGTGAATACGCTCGACGCTGGTAACCTTAAGTCCTAGCTTGTTCTCAAAAATTTCGGTAAGCACCAGTCCTTTCAGCGATTCTGTATTTTCATCTTGAAACTCTTCAATTCCGTGGATGATTATATTATTTCGCCTTCCTCTGTTTTCCAGGTCGTCAACTTTTTCCGTTAATGCCGCTACAATATCCTGGAGTTGCCTTACGTTCTTATCACACTGCTCTGCCTTTTGGGAAGTCGCCGTTAACGCGTTCAATCTGGATTCAATCACCTCCAATCGCCTGTTGGAATCGGCCATGTGCGTCTCAAGCTTTGCTTGCATTGAGCTTATATCAGCGGAAATGCCTTTTTGGTTCTCCAGAATTGCAGCGAGCTGTTCTTGCATTGAGGGACCGGGGTTTAGTTCGACATCACCACTTAGGAGTAAGACTAAGAGACAGAATGTGTCAAAGCAACCCGTAACACTCGCACACAACACTTTTGGGCAGGGCAGCACAACAAGACATAGACGATTGCTCTTGAATATGGGAATGCAATAAGGCTCACCAACCTGAAGCAGGAAAAGAAGCGGGTTCAGGCACGTCCGTCTCATTGCCGTGCTACCCTGCCCACTGACGAAAAGCCGGCGGGGGGCGTGGGTTCGTATCTCAGGTGATGTCGATGACGGTAAGGCGGCTGGCAAAGCCCGAGGAGCAGTCACCGTCGCCGCAAACCACTGGTCGCTGACGAATCCGGTAGCGCTGTAGACAGAGCCAGGCACAAGAAATCTTTCCTCGTAGTCTGTGTAGTTCACACGCGCTGGCACGTACCAAGAGCCACGATCCGACTCCGGGGCGAAGCCGCAGGCAAGCACCTGAAGCAGGAAAAGAAGCGGGTTCAGGCACGTCCGTCTCATTGCCGTGCTACCCTGCCCTGCCAGATGACAACATAGGCTGGCTGGGTTTTAACCACACGCCTCTGTGTGGTATTCTGGTATATTTCCGATTGGGCAACGCACGCGGCAATATGTTTCTGCAAAAATATCATTCGCTAAAACTACCCAACATTGAGCAGAATAATGTTTGTTTGGTATCTCAATTCTCCGTAACGTTTCTGACTTCGCTGAAGGACATGAAACGTCTTCTAGCAATACGCCCACAGTGGCACGTACTGCAAACATTTGTGATAGCTATCAAATAAAGGTGACCTCGGACACTTCAAGAAAAACACTTTTACCGCTGGACGGTCGTCAAGGAGTACGGGATCGAGAGACGTTGGGTGCTCAAATCTCGTTCTTCTCTCTATGTATGTGTAATTACGTTGAACCTATTTACGTGGGAGCCTAGCTAAGACCTCAGCGTAGCGTTTGCAACTCCCTCATCAAAACGCTCCTTCACAAAGAAAGCTACAGGACGCACGGATATAATTTCTGCATTGTTTACATTTATAAAAGAGATTGTTTCACTCGTGATTTTTTAGGGTTACTTTTCTGGGACAGTTCGCAATAAAAAACATATTTCGTTATGTGTGATTACTTAAATTTGTATAATGCTTAGAAGATGATACAAGCCTCATCCAAGGCATGAGGTTACCAGCGGTTTGGCGTTACAAAACACCACCAAGAGGCGTAAGCTCTGAGAAGGCCTAATCCGCAAAGGGACGGTTTGTCGACTAAAAGAAGATAAGCGAAATGAACTCGCTTAATTTTACATTACACGCTTAGAAGGATGAATCAGGCTTTCGGGAAAACGATTCCAACATAAAAGCAAGAGGCAAAAAAAGACTATCAGTTTAAGCAATTAATATTTAATACCGTGACGTAGAACTTTTCACTACTTTATTGCATCGAGAATTATTTATTCAAACTTTTTATTTGTTTGTGTCAGAGTTCTGTTGTAGAACGCGTAGAATTTTGTTACACATTGTTTTCGAGCATCCTCTGAGGCGCAAATTGTTTTCTTGTCGTTGTCGGTTTCACGTTTCATGGCAGGATAAATAAACGCTTCAAGAAAGTGCGAGACCTTGATGAAAAGCAGAGGTCTTTCTGGATCAAGGCAGTCATCCGGCCCGTCAGAAACCACACCAGCAAGATACCACCGGCCCTCATTTTCGTACATTAACGGTCCTCCGCTGTCTCCCTGAGAAAAAAAAAATCACCGCCGATTGTAAACTTCGAAGTTGTTACATTTTTTCTTTCTTTTTTTTCAGTAAGGAATTAAAATGAAAATCAAAAGCGTGAAATATAGCTTTTAACCTGTATTTATTTTAATGTCGCACTTAACATAGCAGCGGTTTATAGGTCATACTTTTGAAGTGATTTTGAGCTAATTGCACAAGCAATTAATAAAATATCTAAAACCTGCATGTTCAGACTTTAAATCTGAAAGAAACAAAAAGGCAGTGAGAACACTTCCATGCCAAACATATTGTATATTTATTTTGCAAGTTTCACATTAAACAATTTTGACAAGGATCATTACAGGAGGACGCTTAAGCTTCGCCTTTAAGAGTGGAGCGTGAGAGCTAAATATCTACAACCACGCTCGTTCCCAAGCCGTTCAAGCGTGGGGAACGGTTTAATTTGGGCGAGCTCTTAAAGGGGACTCACCTCATCAGAATTTTATGGGACTTACTCTTTCAAGACTAGCGGTCTTAAAAGTTATCAGCGAGGAGCAACAATCGTTTTACAGAGTGATGTAACTCTTCTTAGCGGCATAGATTGTTTAGTTTTTAAACATATCAATTATGTATTGAAATAAAAACATAAAGTGTGGGACCGTTTTTCCTCATATAAATGCATTAAAAAATCTAAAAATATTTTTTTTCATGAATGCGGCGCTATAGTCAATTTCAGACAAATCCACATTGTGCAGCGTTATTCTAGATCACTGACGTCGAATGATATTTTCCAAAAATTTAATTTCAGAGCGTTTCTTCACGAAACTGTCACGCAGATACTTTAGTTCAGTTAGTTTGCCCTAGATGACGCTCGCTGTCAAGACAGAGAGTATTTTTGTAGTTTGCTCCTGTCCTTGTAGCGTATTCTTGTATTCTTGACATGAGGCTCCGCCCATGCTCCTCCTCCGTTTTACGGCTTGCGTAAACCGTACAGCTAAATGTGGGGCGCGCTTCATTGTTCCCGTCTCTTTCGACACGATGCCGTACGGAGGGGCTATCCATCGCTACGGCCGCAGGAGAGGCTTCCGAATGAGGTGAATACCGGACCATTATGCCCGCGCTGCCAAGCGAACCAAGGTTGTCCACGACGGTCTTTCTTCACGGAGACATGAGATAAAGGCCGTACGACACCCATGACTTTGCTGACGCGTTGGAGGAAGCCACCGGCATGGCGCATCTGGTTCGACTGGGTGCCTTTCAGTACAACCACGTGTTGGTCTGCACGATGGACTCGGGAGAGAGCAAGGAGAACCTGGTTGCCGCCAAGGAACTCGTCGTCAATGGCAACAGATGTCTCGTGCTTGACCCGAACGTCACGTGCCCGCCAAATCTATAGTGTCTAGCAATCATGGGAAAACAAAAATTATCTTTAGAATTAATTAAGATCTAGAGCATTGCACAAAACGTTCCGGGGCATTTACAATTTAATTTTGACACAGTGTAATTTATAAACCTCTAATTGGAAACAGTCGATCAAACACCATACAGCTTCGCCAATACTGGAAGCTCATCCGAAAACCCATTGCAGCGATGGCGAATGCGATAGTGGCGCCTTTATCAGACTTGGAGTCTACGGAAGCAGATGACGCAATAGAAAAGTATAGCCTCCGCGACGTCTTCGAGCTTTGCGAGCCCGTTTCGTCACCCCAGCAGCTGAAACAATTCATTACGGTCAGTTCGCTTGCAAAGCGGAATCCACTGATTGCAACTGCAACGGCAATCAAATAACAAGACGTGCAGAAAAGAAAGATAGAGCAGTTTATTAAGCAGTTTCAACGCCAGTCCGGGTATCCGACGCGTTTGAAGCGCATCTGGGAAGCGGAAAAAAGGCGTTTAGCTACTCAATCCAGGTCGTAAGATGTGACTGTTGATCCGTTGCAAACTGCGTTATTACAATTTCTTACCTGAATAGGTGATCATTAAAACGTGCGCAAACAACGTGTTAAGATTAGAAGAGCAAGCGCACCAGCCGCTGCAGCATAACAAAAACAAAATGTAACGGGAAAAATTACCATGCAAGCATTTTCCGAACTTTGCAGGAAAGATGCGGCCTCATCCCAGACGAAAATGAAAAGAAATGGAGAACAGTCCAAACAACTGCGAATAAAACGAACAAGTTAGTAGACGATACAAAGATACAATTTACCAGCAAAGAGCTCCTTCAACGACGACGATCGTAGCGCAGGTGGTTTTCGCCGTCCGTGTTGAGTCCACAACAAACAAAGCGGAAGCAGCTCGACAATACTAATCAAAAAAGAGAAGAGCTTCACTTCTTTTTCTTCAGCTGCTTGCGACACGTTTGCTTATTTGCTTTCGCGGCTTTAGTAGGACCAAAAAACAAAACAGGGGAAAGGAATAATGCAGTCCAGCTCACACTGCCGTGTAATTAAGAGTCGCACGCTACAATCTGGTGCGTGCAAGCAGTGTGTGACCTTTTTTTCTTTTGCACTTCTCTTCCCAGTGACCATGGCAGGTTTTTTATTTGCTCGCTTGACGAAGCACTTCAAAAATACTTTCCACTACTTGTTGACGTACGTGTCGCAAGCAGCTGAAGCAGGCAAACGTTGCACACACACCGTGTATTGGTTTCGGGTGTTGATCAGCGGCCCCAAATCCACCTTCAGCTGAACTCTTCTCTGGTGGAATACATCGGTGAAATGTGTGTCGAAGGCTCGGCTGATGTTACCGGCTAAGTGATGATCTAAGTCGGAGGGTGGTTTCGTTTTCGCATGCGAATAGTTCTTGTTCTTCAACAAAATATCTTTCGAGGTGTTCCATGTTTCTGAGAGCAGTTGGACTTGGCAAGCATGATGACAGATCTGACTGGCTACCCACCCGGCTACATAGAGCTGAGTGTTCAGTTGTGCGTCTGGTCTGTCGTCCGCGAAGTTCTCCGCGATACTCATGTAGTTGTTGAATCGTCTGTTGAGGCGACAGTTGCGATTTTTAAGCCAGACTTGGATAGCTCTTCCAGTTTAATTTGAATGCTGCAGTAACTTCATTACTCTCATTTGTTCGGTCTTTGGGAAACGGAAGAAAGATTTTCCACCAAATCACAAGAAGTTTTTTTTGCGGTGGTAGGCAGAAGATAGCATACCTGCCTTCTTTAAGAATTTGCCGGTGTATGCCCGAAGGCGCCCGGTTGATCAACTAACGATGACCCATAGCAGTTATGCCCGCGTTCACAAATGAAAGCCGAATAGAAATGTATAACGAGCTTACACTCTTTAATATATTTAATAACTATCAGAAAGCATATATGCATATTTCGGATTAGAAACTCAATCGAAGGCGGAAATAGGAGGTTATCGCAGACGACATTGGTAGACAACAAAAACAACAACAAAGTTGCAGGCGGCCCTCAGTCCGAGCATAGCGTAACAGACGAGCACAGACGAACCGGCGGTAGTAAGCGTCGAAGCGAAGGAAAGAGAGTAAAAACTAGCCAATCAAGGCAAAGCAAAATACGCGATGGTTCCAATGTCGGGTAAACAAAAAAGAGAGAAAAAAGCAACAAAAAAAGCACAAGATAAAAGGCGGAGGATGAGAGACCGCGCCGACGTAGCGTCGCCTCAAACATAGAAAAGAGAGTGGAATTTGTGTGGAGTTGCAAACGGTCCAACGGGTACCGGCGTTTATAAAAGACGCAGAAGACGTTAGTCGTCCTGGCGCTAACAATCGAAATTTGTGCACCATATTACCTTTATTTGCGCAACAACGCTCTCCTGTTTTTTTTTTCGTTTGCACGCGTGAGAAGTCTGCGTTTTCTGTAATTCCGCTTCTATTAATTTCAGTAATAGCGTCAAATTTGCAGGTGAACAAACTACTTTTTCCAGAGCATACTGACATCGCAGTAACGTACGTGGTTGGAAATTGCCTTTTGCTTCTTCATCCAGAGACGACCTTAACGAGATTAGCCAGCTCGCCTATTCGACACAACAATTAAAAGCAAGACATTCACAAGAAATGGGAATTCCAACGACAAAAATAACTGATTGGTAAAAACAGTTAAGTTGAAACACAGCGTTGTTATAAAATTTTCCCTTCTTCAAAAAACAGCGCGATAGTACATTTCTGTTTTGCTTAGCTCACATAAGTTCTGGCAGAGTGTTTTCTTAACGAGAACCCTAATATGGCACCCAGAAAGCTCTAACATATTTCCCATGCGAATAAAATGTCCTTCACTCATAAGGTTGCACGTATTTTTTCAACATTCAAAGAGTTAAACCCGTGACAATTGTTTTTCGTTGTTCACCTCGCACGGAGATAGGCAAAACCAATGCGTTGTGGAGAATTCAACTGCTATACTTTGTTTCAGCTTAGGTACGAGCGCGGCCGATGTTATGAGCCGAAGGGCTAATCAAACAGTGAAAGAGGCACAACGACATGGCGTGCTTTCTACAGTTGATAGGACGAGCCGGTATTCGCCGTCCCTCTGCGCGTGCGCCTCCGCCGGCTAGTCCTATCAAGCGCAGAGAGCACACCATGACGTTGCGTTTTTTCCGCTGTTTGATTGGCCCTTTGGCTCATAACATCGGCCGCGCTCGAACCTAAGGTGAAACGAGTATAGCGGAGACTGCGAGCTCGCCAGGGGCGCTGCGATCACTTTTCGCCCGCGCTCTGCGGGAGTTGCCAGTATTGGTTTACATGGTATTTAAGTGATTCTATTCTCGTGGGCTAATGTCTTGAACATCTCAGATGAAGATTTGTCTATGACCTAAGAAATTTTCGTTTAACCGGGTGTATGAATAAGATGTCGCAATCATGTGCCATGAAATATTCAAAATTAAAAAAAAAAATCAAACGCCGGGTTCAAGAAAAGAAAAATAAATAAGTTCTATAACACAGCCTTTACTCACAAAGCATGCACCACCGGGTGAGCAGAGCATGTAGTCAGGCACCTCGGTCCTATTAAACTCAACGGAGCATTGAGTGTTGTTCATACAAGAAATTTCTCTCCACATCAGTTCTTGAGAGGATAAGAAACGAACGACTCCTCCCAGTGCTCTTGGTGAAGCCATGTCTGTTTGTTCATAATCCGACAATTCATCCCTTGCTTGTAGGATGCCCTCTTTCGCCATATCCTCTTCGAATCCATCTTCATAATTATAATCATTATAATAATCATCTGGCAAGCTGTCGAATACTAGAAGACAAACAGTTGTAGATCATGTTACGTAAGATTTTAGAACCTCTGTTCATTCAACGATTTTGTTTGTTAACTTATTTTCACATAGCACTTATGCAGGACGTCCAGCAACAAAGGCAACGCACGCATATAGCAAACCAAATCAATCAACTATGTACGTCAATAAAATACAATTTCTCCTTTAATTTAACGAGAGCGGTTTAAATATGGAGCCACAGACTTATAACGAGTTACCACCTTACAATTAAAGCGAGTTTCACTTTAATTGTATTGTATTAAAGTGGGACAAAGTTTGCCATCGCCGTAGCGATTTCAGGAAGAAATAAATGCTGCTGCCAAAAACGCACATCTGTTATTCCATAAAATTTCCGGAAAATTGTTTCAAGATTTTAAATACATATAAATTGCTAAGTTCTGAGCCTTACAATTTTTGGAGGCGAACAGTAACATTACAATCGAAAGCAACTAGAGCTATTGGTGATGTCATGTAATGTCTTTATATGATATTATCTGTAGGAGTTTATCTGCTGGTACCGCGGCCATTGTGTATTCGATTTCAAGAATAAAATATTAAAAAAGACCTTCAACTCTAAACTCCTTTTAGAGCCCAGATGTTTCTATGGCGCATTTTTGTAGATTCTCTGCGCGGTGTCACAACCAAGATTTACCCCGCCGTGAGATCGAGCATGGAATGTAGTATTTCGGAGGGGCGATCATTCAAATTCCTTTGGATGACGTTCAACGTCACGTAACGTTCTGGTGTTAAGTCGAGGACTGACGGCACACCATGACGTCACATGACGTGTCACATGACGTTACTTCGGGGAGTCAAGGCTTGCTCTCACTTAATGCTATGACTTCATGCTATCTGATGTCATTTGTCACCATGGCGCGAATTCATGGTGGCACGTGAAGTCACTTACCGTGTCACCGTGACGTCACGAGGCGTGGGCACGTGGCGTGACGATATTGTCTGACGCCACTTTACCTGTCGTCATATTACACTGGAATGTCCCAACGTCACGTCATGGCTGCGTCACTTGACATTACGTCGCGCGAGACCACGACTTCTTTCGTCTGTTTTAAGCACCCACAAGCGCGCGCTCAGAAGTTCCTTAATGGAGCCTGTGACTGGTTCATCTGGCATCTAATAGATACGACGGACTGTAGTCACAACCGATGACTGGCCCACTCTGCTACACCCTGAGAAATCTGGGTCAACACATATATATACCGTATACATTGCGACGAAGGTTTGAAAATTCTTCCGATGATATATAGGAAAAAGTAGGGTGCGCAGAATAAAGTAGGGTGCGGAGAATAAAATAAAAATCTAATTAAGTGGCAAAAAAAGTCACACAAGAAAAAAGAGTGAAGGGTTGAAAAAAAGGTGTTTTATTTTACTAGAATAATAAAGGCTAGGCATAAGAACGCTAGTTACGCGTGGAGAAAGTACTCGAAAAAGGACGGAATAAAAGTCAAAGTTACACACAAGAACTTCCAAAAAGAAAATGTTTAATGGAAAATTAGATTAATGATTTAAAAAAAATGAAAATAAGGAAAAAAAAATATATATGTATGTTTGCGTGAGATGATGGGCGGTCTACTCTTATCTGTTCTCCGTCCGCAGTTTCTTTGTGTGCGACTCTCTACTTTTTAAGAACTGTAGAAGTAGAAAAACCTTTTTCTTGTAACCCTATGCCTGACAAAGACCTGGCTGAGGTCAAAACGTCGAATAAAATCATCCTACTTTGCTTTCCACCGTTACCCTGCAAATATATATATATATATATATATATATATATATATATATATATATATAACGGGCATGGCGGCGGGAGGCCGAAGGCATGGGTATATAACTGGTAAAAAAAAAAACCTTGGCGAAAACAGCAACAACGGACGATTTATTCTTCGACGTTTCGGCCGGAGTCTGGCCTTCCTGACGAAAGCCGGACTCCGGCCGAAACGTCGAAGAATAAACCGCCTGTTGTTGCTCTTTTATTAAGGTTTTTTTTCTTACCAGTTATATATATATATATATATACAAGACCGATGTCGCAGAAAGATTGTGTTAATTAATAAATAATCTTCTATAGCCTGATTGAAATTAGGTGTTTGAAAAATATCCTGCGGAGGCGTATTCCATTCAGAAAGTTTAGTAGGGAAAAAGCTGTGCTTAAAGGCATGTATCTTGGCGAATATAGATTGCAAAGAGTGTTCCTTGGTTTGTGGGGTCCTTCTTCTGCTAAGCGGAGCAAGGTAACTGCTCGGTACCGACGGTTATTTCTACTTTTTGGTTCCCTCGAGCTCCTACTCCTGCGGTGTGAAACTAACACGGCGAACCGAACGTTCACGGCACATAAAAGACCAGCATGGCCGCAAATGACGTTACGGGCAGTCTATGTATAGAGCAACACGCTGGATCGACATCATACCGTTGCAGTGGCGCAGCTATTGCCCGGCCGCAAACGCAGACGCTCCACTTCACGCGAATTTAGTTCTTGCGTAAGAGCAGTGCCCATACCTTGCGTGGGAACTAAGCGTCTGCCTACATCTTTGGCGGCTTGTTTATAAACAGTGCGTTGGCCTATAGGCCATAGAGCGTAGATCCTCGGATTACTGAAATAAGAGTATTTTTAAGACTTTAATGTAATAATTCAATTAATATGTGATTTTTTCTTTAATTATGACTTTCGGATATTTCTACTTCTAGGCAAGACTCTCAAGCGGTGACACCACGATTCGGCAATGCTCGCAACTACGGTACCCTTTACCGTGCAAAGACCTGGTGAAGAAGTCACTTGTATGAGAAATTGTTTTTGTCCAATAAACACATGAATCATACAACATATATAAGAACCATATAGGAACGATCTAAGTTATATAACAAGATATAAGGACCATATAAAAAAAGTATACGAAACGTCTCACAAGTTTCTTATATGGTTCTTATATTTTCTTATATATCTTAAATTGCTATATATAGTTCTTATATAGTTCTTGTATGGGTCTTATATGTTCTTATATATCTTGTATGATTCATATATGTATATTGAACACAGAACTTTCTCATACAAGTGAGATTTTTCCATAGGGAGACCCTCGACGTCACGAGCGCGATACGCATTGCGCTTCTCGCTGGCTGATTTTGAAGCGAGAGGTAGAGAGCTTGACGCCAAGCCGCTTTAACTTTGAACATTTTCTAGCAAAGTTTTCTTCTAACCTTTTCTACGTAATGAGATCCCGATTTCGATATTTAAATGAGGCTACACTACTTATAATGGACACATAAAAGATCCAGCTTTAAAAAGGTGAATTGAACATCTTAACGCCTCCCGCGTACGATGTATAACTCATTATTAGCAAGCAGCTGAGTTTTTTTTTTTTTTTTTTTTAGTAAATGGAGTGAGCAGTACAAAACTAAAATAAGGAAATTTACCTTCCTTTTGTCCCCAGCCCGCAATAAACGTTCGAATATTCGAGGGGATTTCGCCGCAGTTTTCCGGAAGGCAGATTGGTCGAATAGATTCCGTAAAATTTACTGCAATCCTTAATTTTACAAGAGCAATGTCCATCTGCAAAAGCAATAACATTTATTGAAAGCCATATTTTCTAGTAGGACAGCACCAAATAAACGACCCTCTTTGGCACGTACCATAAAAAGCTCACAATTCTTCTGAATAGGTGTGCAGACGTTTTCAACATCAACGCAGATCACCTCGGTGTCTTCACCTTTGTTGGGCGAGATTTTGTCTTCGACTTCTTCAGTAAATAATATTGTTTTCTCGGCATTCTTGTTTTGTTCGTCCAAGCCTTGTTTAGTGTTAGAGCATTGAGTTGAATTCGTTCTGAGAGTAGTTCCAAGGCGAACTGAGAAGCCCCTCAAATCTTGGTTTCTTAAAAAATTGGGCATGAAAAGAAAGCAATATTTTTTTTATAAAATAAAAGTGTAAACTTTCGGAGAGATATTGTCACGGGTGGTGACCAAAACAACAATAAATAAACAGGAAGAAATAAACGTTTAATGTGCCGAACTTGTGCCGAAAACAAAAAGGGAAGAGACGATAATAACAAAGCGTCCCGAGCGTCGAAGTCGGCGAGACAGCAGAGCCGAACGCTGGGGCGAAACTGACCGTGGCTCGCCACGCGGACCCCTTATGTACATGCGTGGGCTTCTGGAATAATCGGCGTAGAAAGTTCGACGCGTAGAACATTCGGCCCTCGATCAAGCAACAGGATTCTCGAATTTACCAGAATACTAGTCTGCAGGAATAAACAAAAAGATGCGCCGCTCGCAGGCGCTGCCTACTTGGCCCGTTGCGCGCGCGGCATTATAAGCGTCGTCAACATGTGCACCTAAATTGTAGACTGAAAAACAGTTGGTTGGCCCAAATACAATAGGGGCGTTTTACTGCAAATATATCTTTTCAGACTGGTGTTTAGCACCAACCTCTACATGAAGTGGTAATTCCGTGTAGGTTTCGGGTACATGTTTCACTGCAAAGATACAGTGAAGGAGGACGGCTTTTTATGACAAAGAAACAAACATTGCCTTCCAGGGCCAGATGTGTCACGCATTTTGCTATCTCTGGATGCTCATAGTGACGCTCTGCATACGTTTAACATAGCGGGAACAGAAACCGAGTCGAATGCCATATATCTCACAATCAAAACACATGTGAAAATACCAAAAACTCGTGTAAAATAAAGAGTAGAAGGAATGATCGGTGAGATTTGTCAACCTACTTAAACTTGAAGTGAGCCTGGGGATGAAAGAAGACGACAACGATTAGAACTGGGGAGAAAAGAAAGAAGTAAGATAGAATAAACAAGTCTGATAAGCTTCCCCAGTGTGGCAATAATTTGTAGACCCCTATAAATTTGGCGCAGCCGACAGGATCAGCAAAATGTGGGAAACCTTCAACATAGATTCAAGCTCTACTAAAGAAATTGTATTTTTGAGTTACAACGTTCAAGATGATGCCACGACAGATCTTCCTCGACATATCAGTACACCAGAGTTGGTTGAGCTGGTCACACAGAGGGCAAAGAAGTCAACCACGGAACTTCTCAGCTCCAGATCCGTCAAGGTAAACCTGCAACTGTCAGTTTTTGAAGAAATGGTACTACAGCCATGTTGGAGATTATCGGAAGAGACTTCGGTATCTACCTCGAGCACGGCAATGATGCTACAAGCCCTGCAGCTACAGCAACAGCAGATAACCCAGCAAAATGAGCTGATGCAGGCCATCGTATCCTCCATGAAAGAAAAGGAGAAAACCTAGATTTGAAGCCGTGAAGCCAGACATGTTTGACGGATATTCATCGAGTCCGGAGGGATGGATTGACTTCTATGAGTATGCTTCAGAGAAGAATTTCTGGAACTCAGAGCAGGACCGCATCAAGAACATGCGCCTCTTTCTGACGGGCGTCGCAAAGAAGTGGTTTGAACTTCGCCTAGTGGACCACCCGGAAGAAAGCTGGAATGATTGGAAGGCAAGTTTTCTCACCAGTTTCAAGAGGAATCCCGTAGATAGATGGGATCAAGCTATCTTCTACAAGTACAAGACAGGTCTGATCCTCGAATATTTTTTTGGGAAGAGAAAGCTGCTTCAACTTGCCGAACCCCACCTGCCAGAGTCGGCAATAATATCATTGATACTTCATGGACTTCCACGTGAAATCCAAAAACAAGTACAAGCTCGAAATCTCAAATCCGTCGAAGACTTGCTTCAGAGCTTGCAAGACATCAACATCTCCAGCAACCCCATTGAAAGGAGTTTTCCACCTCGAGCTGTCGTGTCGATGACGCCAAACTACAGCCATGCCATAGATAGAAATCTTCAACATAACGCTGTAACGCAGCATACAAAACCAAATGATGCGCGTCAGCAAAGGCGCCCGTGGGAACAGTCAAGTTACAACTCTAACCAGAACCAGGCGGTCCGCTTCACGGATGCCGAGGAGCAGTCGGGAGGTTCAGGACAAGAAACAAAAAACGAATAAAGGAGGGTGGTCAGTCTCACCCGAACATGCCAAACGAGACTGTGTACTTATCTTCGAGCCTCTTACATATCACCGTTGATATTGATGGTCGTAAGACGCGTGCCCTTCTTGATAGCGGCGCCTCAATATCGATCATCAACAAGACGAAAACAGACGTACTAAAGACCTACTTAGGAAAAACAATTCAAGTTCAAAGTTATGATGGCAGAAAGAACCTTTATGAGGAATGGACAAATGTCACCGTCAACTTCGAGGGTCAAAGTATTGAAGTTGGTGCTCTGGTGATTGGTGGAGTGGATTATGACTTCCTACTCTCACGGCCAGACATGAAACGGCTAAAAATGAACATCTACTGGGATGATAAAGTCATAGTCGAAAAGACGGCTGACCGCAGATGTTTGGCCTGCAATCCTCTGGGTACTCAGCTGCAGCTTATTACTGCAGCTGAAGACATTCCTAAGTTATACCCTGAATTGTTCAGCGTTGGCAGCTACCCTCCGGCTACCCCCGAATTCACGGTGCCCTTCAACATCAGTGACAAGACAGTGGTGCGTAAAAAGCCCTATAACATGACCAGAGAGAAGAAGGTGTGGCTCAAGCAGGAGCTGCAAAACATGATAGATGCAGACATCATCAGGCCTTCAGTGTCTCCTTTTGCGTCACCTATCACTATCGCACCCAAAGAGGACGGGAACTTCAGGCTCTGCACAGACTACCGTGCTTTGAACAAGCAGACTGATCTAATCCCTTTCCCAATGCCACGAATTGAAGCCATCATAGATGAAACAGGAGGTTGCCGATGCTTTTCGCGGATTGACCTGTGCAAAGGATTTTGGCAGGTGCCCCTACAAGAAGAAACCAAGATGTACACAGCGTTTACAACACCCTTTGACCTGTACGAGTATAACCGCCTCCCATTTGGCTGGAAGAATTCCCCTGCGTGGTTTCAGAAGATGATGAACCAGGTCCTGAAATCGTAGCTGGGGAATTTTAGCAACGTGTACATTGACGACATCATTGTCTACTCAAAAACAGAGGAGGAACACCGGCACCACTTATCACAAGTGTTGGCAGCACTTAGCTCTGCAAAACTGAAGGTTAATTTCAAGAAGAGTGAGTTCTTCCAGACCCAGGTAGTTTTCCTCGGCAGAGTGTTTAACGGCTCTACAAAAAGCACAAAAGAAGAGTCTGTGGCAAGGATTTCCCAACTGGTTAAGCCGTATGACGTACACTCTCTCCGAGTGTTCCTCGATCTGGCCGGGCACTTCAGAGCATTTATTAAAAACTACGCTCTGAAGACAAAATGCCTCACTAGGCTCACGCAAAAGGATGTGATCTTTGATTGGACGGAAGAGTGGGAGAGAGCGTACCGAGATATGGTTCAAGCTATCTCCTCGGACCCTATCCTATCATTACCAGATTTCACACTCCAATTCGAACTAAACACAGACGCCTCTCATTATGGGACAGGAGCCGTGCTTTATCAACGAGACGCAAAGCAGCCGGCTCACAATCAGCCTCGGGTTGTGAGCTACCACAGCTATACGTTCAACAAATCAGAGTTGAATTACACGACCACAGAAAAAGAGGCAATGGCAGTTCTGAAGGCTGTCCATTATTTTCGGTCGTACCTGGAAGGGGCTCCGTTTAAGTTGTTCACAGACCACCAAGCCCTGACTCACCTTCTTAAAATGACACAGCCAAAAGGCCGACTTGCGAGGTGGGTCAATGAGCTCCAGCAGTTCCAGTTTGACATTATACACCGCCCTGGTCTACTGCTGACGGACGCCGATGCTCTTTCACGCCTTCTTATTCCTCTAAGTGGCGGAAGTCAGGGAACTGTAAACCGAGCAAAGCTGTGGGAGGGAACCGAACATATATTCTTTGAAAAGGGAAAGTTCTAAGTACCTCCTTCAATGATTCCTACAGTTCTACAAGAGTATCATGATAGCCCAGAATCCGGTGGACACGATGGCTTTTGGCGAACCTACAAAAAACTCACTAAGAGATTCACCTGGCCAAACATGAAGCAGGACACAAGCAAATACATTCAGTCTTGTCACGAATGTCAACTTCACAAGGCAAAGTTCAAGCAGGCTACTGACGTAATGACAACTCCGGAGTACTCCAAGGAACCATTTGGGGTTGTCCACTTGGACTTCGGAGAGTTGAAAAAGAAAAGCGAAGGAGTAAAACAGACGCAAGCGTTTCTTATTTGTATTGATGAATGCACTAGAATGGTATCCACTCGAGCTGGAAGAGAAGATGCGAACAGCGTCATAGCTTTGCTCAACCGAGAAACGTTCAAGAACGTCAAGGTAATAAAATCCGATAATGGACCAGCCTTCAGAAGCAAGAAGCTCGAACATTGGGCAAGACAGTGAGGTATTTCACTGAAGTTTTCTGCACCGTATCATCCTGCAGCCAACGGCCTTGCGGAACGAGCAATTTGGGATATTAAGCAATACATGAAAATGTACCCAGATTTTCCAGGAGGCTGGAAGTGCAGCTGTGTCTCACCACAACAGATCGTACACGAAGGGCCTGGGATGTAACCCGATCTTTGCGGCCACTGGGAAAGTTCCCTTTCTATCGGCCGATCATAAGCTGGGGTTAACAGAGAAATTGCGACTCACAGAAATACCCAAAACAGACGCCGCAAAACAGAAGTACAGGGGCACCATCAAACAAAACTTTGATAAAAGACACAACGCCGCAATACCAAACCTAAAGGTTGATGACCTTGTTCTCGTCAGAAAAGGAATCCCGGGGTCAAGCGCCAGTTTTTCGGAGCCTTACCGCGTTGTGAAAACGGCTGCCCAGCAGGGCATATTGAAGACGATTTGGTACTTGGGCCCTAACGAGACGACGGAGACTGCCTCAATAGGAAATGTTTTTCAGTATTATCCCAGGAGGGATAACTTCTGCAGCACGGGGAAGTGAAGTGAGCCTGGGGATGAAAGAAGACGACAACGATTAGAACTGGGGAGAAAAGAAAGAAGTAAGATAGAATAAACAAGTCTGATAAGCTTCCCCAGTGTGGCAATAATCTGTAGACCCCTACAAAACTCACAGAACGTATGTAATCAAACTACTTAAATAATTTTGTTAAAATAAAATGACTTAAATACCTACCCAAAACAATGTGCCGCAGTTAAGACATATTGGCGGTTAATTATTGTCCCACCACATACCATCATGTCGCTCGAATTATAAATTCCGACCATCCATGGCCATTGTTTGAGGGAAGCCTGAGCGCCGTTGATGATCCTTTCGGAAACACTCTTCCCTTTTGGGCACTTCCCGCATTCCAACAGTGTGTCCTTGTCGACACCTGCGCATCCCAGGATTGTAGATATCGTTACTATTCAGTATTTTTTGGAACAAAGCATTCCAACAAAATATGAGGTTATCTCGAATGGGTGACGATATGAAATACGGTAGGTTTTTACCCCTCCCCCTTACCCTACGGGCGTGTCGTATTGTTTGACGACATCGGTCATACGCACGTGGTTCGCTCTTGTGCACATGGACATTTATGGACAGGATCATATCTGAAAGCTAATTAATTTATTCAGTGGCTTGATTAAATCGAAAATCCCTTCAAGAAACAAGAAAGTTTCTGTTTTCAAGACCGAGTTTCGCAGTCTCGGCAGCTATCCACCTTGATTGCTAGACAGGACAATAATCTGAAACTGCATGGCTGTCCCAGCGATGCATCTTTTGGGGTAATCGTACTTCGTTCGAAACATCTGCGAACAAGCACTATATGCATGAAAGGGTTTCACCCACCGCTGTCTTGAACGAGCGAAACTTTGCACGCCACCAACAAGCTGGAAAAGCTGGAAAAAATAGCATTGCAGCTACTGCAATGCTATTTCTTACAAGATGAGCCGACAGATGGCGCCACCACCCAATGCATGCGGTGGTGTACGGGCCTTTCCCCATCACCTACGCCAGGAGACGAAGAAACCGGCGAGCATGGCGGACGCAGATACCGTCCACGTTGTAACCTTTTGTCAAGCATTAAACTAGTTACGTTCGATAACACGCCTTCTTGAAACATGGTGTCAGAAGCGGCAATAGCCAACGCTTGAGCTACGACCGCCACGACCACGGAAGCAAGCATGGACAGGATCCCGCCGCCGCCGAAGTTTGAAAACGCCAGCAACGCTGCGGAACAATGGCGCACGTTCAAACAAGCCTTCATGCTGTACCTGAAAGCGACCGATGCCGCTGGAGCATCATCGGAAAGGCAAATCGCACTTCTTCTCATGGTTGGAGGACCAAGCCTGCTAGACATTTACAATACTCTGGACTTCGGAGAGTGTACGGAAGCGAGACCGCACCCTGAATTTGACTTCGACCACGTTGTGAAGCTACTGGATGCGCACTTTCTGCCGAAGCAGAACGAAGTGTACTCACGCTACGTCTTCCGCATGCGAGTACAACTTCCCGACGAGAGGTTCGACACTTTTCTGACCGACCTGAAACTGAAAACGCGCGACTGTAATTTCGGAACAGAAAAGGAGAAGATGATCCGTGACCAAATCGTCTGTGGAGTAAACGACGAGAAAGCACGTGCGGACATTCTGAAACTAGAGAAACCGACGCTCGAAAAAGTCGTCAAAGTGTGCCTAGCGCACGAGTCGACGAAGCTTCAAATGAAGGTGTTCAGAGAAGACACCACGGTCGCCGAGGAAGTCCACGCAATGAAAGGTAGCAGCAATCGCCGCCGACAACCACGTGCCGACCGAGAGAAAGACAAGCAGACTGCGTTCAAGCAACCAGTACAGAGCTGTAGATACTGCGGCAGGACTCACGAGCGCGCAAGACAAGCATGTCCAGCATGGAACCAAACCTGCAACAAGTGCAAGAAGCGGAACCATTTTGCAGCGGTATGCAAAAGCACCAAGACCGTCGCCAGTGTGGAGGAGCACGACGACGACTCAACAGAAGAGATACTCACGGTGCAGGACGGCAAAGCAAGCTCGTTATTTGCAACCTTGACCGTCAATGAAAGAAAAATAAAGTTCCAAGTGGACATTGGAGCTGCAGTGAATGTTATCAATCACAAGAATGTGACGCCTAGACAGATCGAGCCAACCTCGACAACCCTGCGCATGTGGAATGGCACGAAAGTCATCCCAACTGGCAAGGCAAGGCTGAAGGTGACTACAGCCAACGGGCAGAAACACGTCGTTGACTTCATTGTGGTCCGTAACGACTTCACACCCCTCATAGGACGAAAGACAGCTGAACTGATTGGGCTAATCACGGTTGACTACGACCTGGTTGCCAGCGTTAGTGAAGTGAACTATAGAGACCAGATTACGAAGAGGTACCCCGATGTTTTTGGAACCTCTGTAGGCTCTCTGCCCGGGACCGTACACCTTGTGACCAAGCCAGAGGCGTGTCCCAAAGCAGTAACAAGTTGCGGATTCCCGGTGAACATCAAGCCTCAGCTCGAGTCAACTATAAGACGATTGGAACCGGGAATCATCAAGAGTGTCACGGAACCGACACCTTGGGTCAGCCGAATGGTCATCGCTACAAAAAAAAAATGGTGAAATGAGAATCTGCATTGATCCTCAGGGTCTCAACGAAGCCTTAGAGCGGGAGAGGCACCCCTTACCGATCCTGGATGACATTTTGCCTGAAGTCGCAAAGGCAAAGATATTCTCGAAGTTGGACCTACGAGACGGCTACTGGCAATGTATCCTGGACGAAGAGTCTAGCCTCCTCACCACCTTCCAGACACCAATGGGACGCTACCGATGGCTACGCCTCCCATTTGGACTCGCTGTCAGCAGCGAAATCTTTCAGAAGAGACTGCAGTCAGCTCTGGATGGACTGAGTGGTGTGCTGTGTGTGGCAGATGACATTCTAGTATATGGTGTCGGCGAAACTGATGCAGAAGCTCGCAGTGACCATGACAAGAAGCTGGAAAACCTGCTGCACAGATGTCAGAAGATTGGTGTGCGACTCAACCGAGACAAGACGGAGCTGCATCGCACAAGTACAACATTTCTGGGGCACCTGCTGACAAAAGACGGACTACGTGTTGACCCTGAAAAGGTCAGAGCCATTCAAGAAATGCCCCCACCAACTGACGTCCAAGGTATGCAACGCTTTTGTGGAATGGTCAACTACCTTGCACGCTTTCTGCCAAAGCTCTCCCAGGTCACAAACCGCTCAGAAAGCTGGTCATCAACAGTGAACCATGGGCATGGAGCGATGAACAAGACAACGCATTTCAAGAGACAAAGAACTTGGTAGCAAGAGCCCCAGTGTTGGCAGATTACAACCCGCAGAAACCGCTGATGTTACAATGCGATGCCAGTGAACGTGGTTTAGGAGCTGCACTCCTTCAAGATGGACAGCCATTATCCTTTGCGAGCAGAGCTCTCACACCTACTGAAGTGCGGTATGCGCAGATAGAGAAGGAGATGCTTGCCATAGTCTTCTCGTTGAACAAGTTTCACCAGTACACTTTCGGAAGACTGACGACTGTAATCACAGACCATAAGCCACTACAAGCCATCATGAAGAAGCAGCTGGACCAAGTTCCAAGAAGACTGCAAGGGATGATCCTACAGACTCAACGCTACAACATTGACCTGCAGTACCGATCAGGAAAGGAACTTCTACTGGCCGATACGATGTCACGAGCATTCTTGCCAGACGACCATTGCGAACAGCAGCTCGAAGACATCAACGTGGTGAACCACCTACCTGTGCGAAAGGATACTGCAGAGAAGATCCGCAACGCAACCCTGAAGGATGACACCTTGCAAAAGCTGACAGCAGTGATCCTAACAGGATGGCCGCAGGAAAGGCACAATGTTGCACCAGAAATCAGGATGTACTTCCCTTTCCGAGACGAACTTGTCGTGGAAGATGACATCGTTTACAAGGGACAACGACTGGTGATCCCAAAAGCGCTCCGTGGAGAGAAGAAAGAAAAGCTACATTCATCGGATATGGGTATCGAAAGCACTCTACGACGTGCACGTGACAGTATTTTCTGGCCGAGCATGAATGCTGAAATCAAGGACCACATATCAGTCTGTAATGTGTGTCAGAAACATGCACCAGCCCAACAACGAGAGACGCTGAAACCACACCCGAGACCAGACTTTCCGTGGGAATGTGTTGGATGCGACATACTGGAACACAAGAACAAGCACTTCCTAGTCACAGTGGACTATTACAGCAACTTCTGGGAGGTCGACCAACTCAACTCGTTAATATCTGCCCATGTGATACGCAGACTGAAAGCACACTTCGCAAGACACGGCATCCCAAGTGTTCTGATCACGGACAACGGCTCACAGTTTGCTTGTGAAGCGTTCAACAAATTCTCGATCGATTGGAACTTCGAACATGTCACGTCCAGCCCACGATACCCAAGATCGAACGGTATGGCTGAGTCTGCCGTGAAGACTGTCAAAATGCTCTTAAAGAAAGCAGACGAAAGCAATGGCGATCCTCAGATAGCATTTCTCGACCATCGTAACACGCCGTTGTAACACATGCATGCAAGCCCTGCACAGCTCCTCATGGGTCGACGCACACGCACATGTGTACCAACGACAACCAAGCAGCTGCTGCCAAAAACTGTCAGTGCCAGAAACCAGTTAAAGCAGAAGAAACGAAGGATGGTTTTCTATCACGACAAACGGGCAAAGACCTTCATCCTCTGAGCATGGGACAAGATGTGATGGTTCTCCCAACCAAAGAAGCATTAAGGAAAAAGGGAACCATCAAGGAGCAATGTGGTGACAGGTCATATAAGGTACAGGTCAGTGACGGCGTGCTACGCCGCAACAGAGTGCACATACGAGATGTACCCAGTTGCCAACAAGCTGAAGCAGATGTCCCTACCACTACTCAGGACGATCGTGAGCACCACAGAACACCCCAGGTCAAAAGTTTCCCTCAGCGCGAACCAGACACGACACCAGTACCTGTGACGTACGAGCCTGACCACCAACTTGTTCCAATCCGTACCCCTACGCGCCCCAAAGAGAACAGCAGCTCTACCAAAGAAGTTTCAAGACTTTATTGTGGGGTAGTCCCTACTTAAACAAAGGAGGATGTTAGAAGATGAGCCGACAGATGGCGCCACCACCCAAGGCATGCGGTGGTGTACGGGCCTTCCCCCATCACCTACGCCAGGAGACGAAGAAACCGGCGAGCATAGCGGACGCAGATACCGTCCACGTTGTAACCTTTTGTCAAGCATTAAACTAGTTACGTTCGATAACACGCCTTCTTGAAACACTATTTTTTCCAGCTTTTGCTGTATTATCGGCACGGAGTTCTATGTAT